GTAAGAAGAAGGGGGGATGCCACACAGTGGTAAAAATGGACTTGTCCCAACTTTTTTGGGATTTGTTGACGCCATGAAATTTGGAAACAACAGATTTTTCCCTTAAAATGATACATTCTCTCAGTTTAAACTTTTGATCTGTGATTTGTGTTCTATTCTGAATAAAATATTAGATGTTGGCACCTCCACATCATTGCATTCAGTTTTTATTCACAATTTGTTTAGTGTCCCAACTTTTTTGGAATCCGGTTTGTATATTTGTTTCCATGTAAGGCCCATTTTTCCAACTTACCATATTTTTCAGACTATAAGGCGCACTTAAAATTCTTGAATTTTCTCAAAAATCGACAGTGAGCCTTGCGTATTAATTCTGGTTGTGCTCACGGACCTCGAACGATTTTATTGTGGTACACAGCGCTCAAAAATCTGACAAAATGAACTTGTTTCACTTAATGTGCCTTATAATCCAGTGTGCCTTATAGTCAGAAAAATATGGTACAATACACTCTGAGGACCAACTGCTTCTTATGGGGTCCAAAGCCCGGGCCCCATAAGAAGTGCCATTGGTGGGTTAGGTTTAGTATTAGGCATGTATGTACTGGTTAGGTTTTTATGGAAAGGTATGTACTGGTAATGGTTATACAGTATAGGTTTAGGGTAAGGTGTGTACTGGTAATAGTTAGGTTTTGGGTAAAGGTCTGGGTTAGGATATAGACATGAATGAAAAATGAACAGAAATCAATGCAAAGTCCCTGTAAATATAGAAAGACAAACTCGTGTGTGTGTTCCCCTGAATATAAATGCTCAAATAAACGTTTTTTATGCAAAAAAATTAAAATAATGTTTCTGCAAAGTGCTGAAGGCATCATCAACCTCCTTTCCTGCAGTTTCTTTTATGTGGCAAATTGTAAATTAGACTAAAAATACTCCACCTGTCACATTTAGTGAGCTGTGGACCCAAATGCAGGTGCAAACAAGACGGTGTTTATGGACGCAGCATTACTTTTAATTGTGTTGTGGTTGATTTTGATGAGAAATTAAAAGAGGAAGGATTTGGGTAACAGCTCGTTTCAATGGGGCACAACACAAAGTAGATCTTTATCAAAATAACTCAACATTTTAATGCATGAGGCTTTTCTTAATGCATCCCTGACGGAGCAGTCAAATTACACAATACAGATGATTAGAAACTGCCTTGATGTGTGGATATCTTTATAATTTTGTTTGGGTCACCACAGCCATGCATCCTGACGTGTCACAATAAAACTTTAGCTCTGAACGTCAGATTTTGATGACAATCAATCTTTTCCACAAAATAGTTTTAGTTTTTACCAAGCGAAGAGTTATTCTTACTTCTTTAATAACAAAACTGAGGCAGCAGGAGGAACCAAGAAAGCATGAAGGTTAACAGATGATCTGACAAACAAAAAAAAAACAACTGAGGAAAATCGGGGCGATGTGACAGGTGTGCTGATTACAAACAGAGAACAGGTGTTATATTAAAAAAAAAACTGGAAACAAGGACAACTGAGGGCATTTATCATCAATGGTACAAGCAAAATACAATAATATGTCGAAACAAACAAAATACCAACATCATTATTATTAATACGATGACTTACTAAAGCAAGTACTTAACAAAAAAATGAAAAATAAACTATTGTTGCACTGGCTTTATGTGATTTATCATTTTGAGTTTCTTCTGAAACTGATGAATCTTTATCTTTAAAGCCTGATGTAAAAAAAAATATATGATTTAATAAATGAAGGCTACCTATGGGACCGATCTGGTTGGCAGGCCGCAGACTGACGAAGTCCTCTGGATGGGGGACGAAACGTTTCTCATGTAGCGATACGGGGTGTAAATCTATGTTTTGATTATCCGCTATGAGGTAAGCTCATAAAATATTCATGTATTATGCAAATAACCTCATTTTTGGGCACCATCTCTCTCGGAGAGGAAAATCAGTCTCTATTTACCCCCAAAATATTGTAAAGATTCAGATGTTAGAGTCTGCCATGAGACCATTTGTTGTTGTTTCATTCTCATTGAATGTTGCAGAAACTAAGAATAAAATGCTCAGATTAAAGCCAGGTGGTGGTTTGTCTTCAAATCCACCCAGCGAGCTTCTGATCAAATATTAATAGGTGAAAGATAGGAGTTAGATCGAGTGTCTGTGGTTTTATTGCACACAAAAAGCCAACATATTATACGGTGTGGATTTGTGCTGGAAAGGTTTCATCCTTGACCGCTTCCAGCATAGAGGGTGGAGCAACTTTAAAATCATAACTGCATCATAAAAGGTTGTGAAACAGGCAAAGCTGTTCATACTCATTAATTTGCTAATTAAACCAAGGTGGTGGTGGTGGTGGTGGTGGTGTGTGTGGTCAAAAGAAGAATAAAAGAACTAAGAAAAGTTTTGCTATAAACAGCACTGACAGTGTACTTCACCCAGCAACAGGTCTAACTTCAGGTGCCAGATGTGGAGCAACGGATGAAAATGTCATTTTTAAAAGTTCATTTTTATCATTTCCTGATTGGATATGTTCAAACACGTGACCTGAAACAACCCATGCTTTCCCAGGACATGAACGTGATTAAATGTTTTCTGTTTTTATGAGTTACTCCGACAGATTTAGATTTAAAACATCCTAACATTTTTTACTATTTTGTGCAAAATGCAACCAAAAATGTTCATATAGGCTACACCTGCTAATCTGATTGTTTGTTTGTTTTTTCCTTTTAAGTTGGAAAACTTAATCTCTGTGAAGAATATGTTTGAGTTTTGATCATGGAACAATAAAATCTCAAATGTTTAATTGACATAAATAATCTGATTCTTTACTAAAATCTGAATATGTTTGATGTTTAGGATATTAATGATTTCATGTCAGGGTGAAATAATCTCTGATCACCTTTAAAACTCTTCAGAAATTGATTAAATTATTAGTAGCAGTATAGTAAAACCCTGAAAGTTCACTCTGATAAACTATAAACCCATTCTTCACCTCGAAGGCTCCGGTGGGAAATGTTTTTCAGCTGATTCCTCGGCAGGATGCTGCTTTTTCTCGCCTCAAGATGACGAAACATCTTTTTTCCGCCCACTCATCTAAACATCAGGAGGCGGCTCAGATTGATGACCATCACCGCCTGGTGATTACCTCGGGACCATTTTGCAAAGAATTGTCTGAAATCTTCCCGTATTTCACAAAACATTATTTTCTTCCGTTACCTGGTAAAGTTGAGCAGTTACTACCCATGGTGCCAGAATCACTACGGACCATTTGCACTGTTGCACCATGATTGTTGCACATTTACTCCACAACAAATCAGATGGAGCTTTCTGAATGAGGTTCAGACAAGATGATGATGCAGATTTGGTCTAAACGTAGCTCCAAGGTGAACATTGAGTTCATTTCAACATCCATCTACTATCTTTATCGGCTTCTTCCTTTTTCGTGTCACGGGGGTCACTGGTACCCATGTCCAAGTCAATGTGAGAGGTGGGGGACAATGGACAGGTCTCAGTCCAACACAGAGAGACAACCATTCACTCTTTCACAGGGACAATTTAAAGTTACCAATCAGCCTAACATGCATGGTTTTGGTCTGAGGGAGGAAGCCGGAGTACCCAGAGAAAACCCACGCATGCATGGAGAGAGCATGCAAACTCCACCCAGAAAGGCCCCCCGGCCAGGATTTGAACAGACGACCTGCTCGCTGAGGTGGCTGCTCTACAAATTGATCCATTGCACCACCCTCATTGCAATGGGTTTGTAAAAAAGAAAATAAATAAATAAACACCTTTGTTGTGTTGCACTGCCCTCCACAGCTCAAATTATGAAACTGTGAACAAACAAAAAAAAACACTTTGTAAAGCATTTTAATCAGGCTACAATAATTTTAACCTGAAGAAATATTTTCTGACTTTTAGGATGCTCTCTTCACTTGTGTGCATTTTCCTAAATGTTGCCATTTAAATAAAAGCAGGTCAAATCTATTTAAGTCCAAAGATGCCATGGTTCTCAGAGTAGTACAAGGACCAGCTGTGGTCCTCTGACCCCCTCTAGTGGCCAGTTCTGGTATGAACAGTTTGCAAGTTGACTTGTTTAACCAACATGATCAAGAAGTCAGAGATGACTGAGCAAATGACAATCTGAGCTTCAAATGGAAACTTGAGAAATTAATGCTGAAAGTTCACTGAAAGTGAACTGTTGACAGCTAAAATAAGTTTTCTTCTTCTTCCAGTTTTAAACCACTTCAATAAATTCATACCATGAATAAACCTGGGTGGTGACAGAACGCAATAAAAACGATTGTTATCCAACAAAATAAATGTAGTTAATAGGCAGATACAATCTTTGTACATAGAAAAAATAAAACTTACATGTACTTTAAAACATTTAAAGATGGTTTAAGGTTTAAAAGGCGTTTTAAAATCAGCCAGAAATGGAGATCATTTAGGTGCAGTTTATATACACAAGGACCCCCGTTACCTTTATTTATACAGGTAGTCTCATTGAGTCACGAGAACTCATTTTCAAGAGAGACCCGTTTTTGGGAGCAGATGGTGGGAGTTATGAGCCTTGCTCAGGGGACCAGTGAGGCAGGTGCGTTTCACCTTTTTCCACCCACATTTTGATGTTGACGGTACCAGTTGAACCTGCAGCTTTCCAATCACAGACCCATCTTCCCTGACCTCTGCACCACTACTCCCCTAAAACAAGTACAGGAAGTAATAAAAGCCCCAACTGTTTTAAGTTTCAACTCTTTGCAAAAATCCTAATTTTAAATGGGCCTGAAAAATCTAATTCAATCCTCACCTTCATTACTGCTAAATTTAGCATTAAAGTCATTTAAAAACAAAAAAAGAGGCGAGTGCTTCCTTGTACAAAACTTACTCTAGCTTTAAATCAAACTATTGGTAAATTTAAATTTACTGTTTGAGGAAAATTGTGTGTGTGTGTGGGGTGGGTGGAATTAAAAACCACACTTGGGTTTTAAAAATTTACATTTATTTAAGAGGGTGACATAAATATCAAGCAGCTCACTGTGCACTCAGACCAGTTGAGATTCTTTAACGCAGGTCAGAAACTGGTTTCAGAAAACAGGATCCAAACAAGTTTGTTTTTTTTGTTTTTTTAAAAAGCAGACTGACGCAGGTTTTCATGAACATGACAATATTGTTGAATGCCAGTTTTACAGTGTCATTTAGACCAAGCAGCAACACGTCCCTTCAAACCGCAGATCAGTTTCTGAGTCAAACTAAATTTACAATCTTTGATTTTTTTTTTTGTTTCTTTTGTTTGTTTGGCTTCATGCACTACTAGAACTCAAATGCTGAACTTGTGTTTCTCACATCTTGGATCAATAAAAAGATGGAATGTCCTAGCAGCAAGTTGGGGGTTGGTGAGACATCAAAAGGCTTGAATGTTTCTGGCAGGTGGTGTATGAGCAGAAGTCCTTTCGTCAAGAGAAGGGTAAACTTTTTTTCCTTCTTTCAACACAGTTCCACAACCATAATGTTCATAAATGTTAACAGTCTCGTTCCCAGGTCCAGCATGATCAGCCCGCGGTGTCCGCCATACAAACGCTCCGATACACGATCAGTAGATCTGTGGCGCACAAGGACTGATCTTTGCAGGATCCAGAGAGCATCCTTTATGATTTAGGGCTGGGCAGAGGGCGCCGGAATAACAAAATGTGTGGTTCTGAAGGAGAGAAAGAAAATACAGTACACAGGAAGTAAAGATCATTTTTAAACTACTGAAGGTAAGAAAATATAATCCAACTTTACTGATGATCCAGAAAACCGACTTGCTCTACAGGTTTTACATGAAAGTTTGAAACTTTACAGATTAATTTAAAATTAACCCGACTGGTTTGTGTTATGCATTTTCTTTATTTAGTGCAGCCGTTGTTCATTTGCATCATTTGGTGAAACTGACATTCATTGGCACCACCCAGCAAGAATGTCAGAAACCATCCCGTCTATTTGGAGACATTCTTGGCAGAGCAAGAATTCCTCAAGAAAACTCAACATATTAGCACACAACTGTAAACTCTCACATTTGTGCTTTAGCCATCATTAACCACAAATTATTGACCACACAGACAACCTGTTACCAGCTTTCGTTGTAGGATAAATACTCATGTAGGTTTAGAATTTTATCTTGTTTGTTTGTTCTGGGGCGGCGGTAACTCGAGGAAGAGCAGTAATCTCGCTAAACAACAAGTTAAAAGGACTCATTAGAAAATGCAGCTCGTTTACCATTTTCTGAACAGGAGATTCAGGAAAAACCCAAGTTAACGTTCTCACTGAGCTGCAACAGTTTCAAGACGAGCTGGTCACTGAAATAGGCAAATTGTAAGAAAATATACAAACGTTCCCATTTTATTCTCAGAGTTTTCAAATGCAGCCAAGTCAGCTGTTTATCCATGTTTTGAGCAAAGAGTATTTAAAAACCGTAGTCTATTTTTGCATTAAAGATGTGCCAAACTGCAAGCACTTTTTTTTAAATGAAGAGGCACATATGGAGCATTTATTTTCAATACATTATCAGCTTTCAGATCTGGAATTAGCAGGTTTCTGTCAGTGGAGAGCTTTTGAGAAGATGTCCAAATACAGTCGCATACAGTCTTGAGACAGATTGGCGACGGTCGCAACTTCGTTCCAGAGAAAATGTTGCACAAATTTTTGGAACGTGTACAAAACGATTTGCAACGAGCCGAGGGTCTCTGCACCGCACACACACACACACACAAGATGAGAATGCACACATTATCTTTAGAAGAACAGCATCTATTGGATGATCGTAGTCAAAAATTAATCAGCGAGGAAATAAGTCCTGTGTGCTATCTGTGTCTTTGGTGGTCATTTCTTAAGCCTAACACTGCCTGAAATGTCCCTATACATTATTCAAAATCCAGTATAACAAGCCAGATTTTGTATAGAATAAATCAAGTTATTGTGTTCAGGCATAAGTAACTACCGGTAGTGTAAATGTTGATAAGAATTTTCAAATTCAGCTATTCTGGTTAACAAAAAGCTGGCTTCCAGCTACAGAAAACAGCAGGTTCTCTGCACATCTGTTCAGCACTTCTTGTCCACTCAGTTACAGTGGATCATGACAATACATTAGTACCATTATAATACCTGGCTGATGGATCATGTAATGCACCCATCCTTGGCTTTGCTGCACTCCGAGGTTCCTCCACTCGGTCTCCGACATCAAATGGGTCTTGGGTACACGCTTAGCAATGTCTTTAGGTAGCATGACATGTCTGCACAAGACACAAGACATGTTAAAAATTAAGATCACCTTATTTCAAGGGTCACTAGGGGTTGTCATTTTAGTTTACAGCATCGAGTCGATGACAAAGCTAACGTACTACCATAAAGTTAAAAAAATGTAAATAATTACCCACCTGTACTCGTATTTGTCATCGTCATATTTGTCAGAGTAGTAGATTTGTTTGTGAGACATGACGGAAACCTGACAAAGAAGTTTCACCTGTTAGTTACTGTTCACAATGAGGAACAAGACGAACGAGCTCCTGATAGCGGAAAGTTTTAGCGTGCTCGGCTAGCTAGCCGACAAGTAGTCTCGGTAAGACACGTCTGCTTAAAACCAAAATCAATGTTTTTCAATATTTGGCACAATCAACGAAAAGGTCAGAATTACCTTATGAACGCGTCGAGGTGTTCTGGTTCGAAAAGATGTTAACTTTTACAAACGCTTGTGTCAAAAACAGTTAAGATGGTCCCTCTTCCTTTGTTTCCCTCTCGAATGTTTTCCAGCCCGCTTTTCAATGTTCAAAAGCACTTGGCCTCTTCCTATTGGTCAAGCTGCTAAACAAACTTGCTTCCCATTGGATAATTGCCTAATACCGGAAATGACGTCTTTAATATACGAGTTTCTCATTTGATGTTATAATACCAAAAAAATAGCCTTTCTAGAGTTTGATTGGACGTTTGAAATGATGCGTTCACTTGTCTTTATTTATGTACGTAGATAGTTTATATTCGCTTGTTTTTTGCATTTATTCCCAATTTTTGAGACATTATTTTGTTTTTTTATCATCACTCAGAAGAAAACTTAGAACTATTTATTACATTTACCTGACAGTTTATTTTCTTTAATTAATATACAACTCATACGGTAAGGGATTTAATCATTTCCATTCAACCTCTATGTATAGAGGATAATCCCATTGCATAATCCCATTGATAATAAATGTCTACACTATCGTCTTAATAACAGAAGCAGTGATGAATAATTTGCTGATAAGTCAAATTAATAAAACATTTTCAAGCTATTTTGTCAAGTTATTACAAATTTATATTGCGTTTTGTTATACAGCAACACGTGGATGTACTTTGTAAGAATTTGACATGCTTATCTAACAAGATAAGACAAAAATGGCAAAGAGGAGATATATGGATGCAGTTAGAGAGTTAGGACACAAGATGCAGAGGACAGAATGAGATGGAGGAAAATGATTTGCTGTGGTGACCCCTGAAAAGGGAAAAGCCAAAAGAAGAAAAAGATGTGACAAGATTGAGTCAGGTCCTCTGGACGGGTTCTTCTTTGTTGAAATGTTTTGTCTTTTATCCAAAAGACTTCTTCAGTCTGAAGATCAATCTCAGTCTCATTAGCAACACCTTCTCATAGTGGATCAACCAATTTTCTGGACAGACCAAACTAGTTGTTCACATGTAAAAAGGAGGACCAGTCTAACAATTGGTCGTGAGTGCCCAGGGGGCTGAGTGATACTAGCAATAACAGCATTGAAGGGGACAGTTGAACACGGAGGCCTTCACCCCTGTTTAACAATGGGCGGGTTCTCGTCAAAAAGATGGCCTCCTTCACTCCTCGCTTAAATCATCATTCCTCTCTATCAAGGATGTGAACATCTTCATCCCTGGAGTGACCTCTGGCCTGGAGATGAGTGTACCTGTACATCCACACGGCTTCACCACAGACCACATGTGTAGTTACAACCCTGCGTTCGTTGTCCATAACATACTTCTGCCCATACCATAACCCCATCGCCACTATTGGCCACTTGATTCACAATGTTGACAACAGCAAACCGTTCACCCACATGATGCCTTACATGACGCAGACTGTTATCTGCCCTGTACAGTGTAAACCGGGATTTATTTGTGAAGAATATGCCATACGCCATTGAATGTGAGCATTTGCTCACTCAAGTCGGTTACGACAGCAAACTGCAGTCAGGTAGAGACCTTGATGAGGATGACGAGCATGCAGATGAGCTTCCCTGAGACGTTTCTGACAGTTTGTGCAGAAATTCTTTGGTTGTGCAAACCAATTGTTGCAGAGGCTCTCCGGGTGGATGGTCTCAGACGATCTTGAATTCCTTTATAAATATAATTCACAGCTTTTTGTAATAAATAATGGTTCAATGATTAAGTTCGAGCATCACAGCAAAGGGTTGTGTTTTCCAGTAAGTTGTCCACTTTTACTGTTAATGTTTGACAATAAACCTATTATTGCCTGCCTCATACTTACAGTGTATTAGCCTCAAAATCGATTGGCTCAGGGCAATCAGATGAGGAGGAACACTAGGAGGAATTTCAGAAACAACCAAGAAACAACTACAGTATAACCAAGCATGCATAATGTAATCTAAGTAAACAAATGCATTTGCAGGTTATAGCATTGTGTCTGCAAAAAATATAGTTTAGCTTCATCTCCAGGAGTGAAGAAATAGAAATGTGCGCAGACGAAACACTTAGCGCACTAATTATAGAATAGTTGATGAAACTTGTGTCCACACAGGAGCAACTGGAGTGCAGGGGTTGTCCAATCTGGTAAGTCCCGCAGTCAAATATAGCTCAGCAGACGTGTCAATGCGCTGCTGGTCTCTGTAGCCTCTCCCTCCTGTGTATAAATATGTGAGCGCATATGCATTTTGAACGTTGGGGCCACACATGAAGTCGTATTATAAACCCTGGAGACAGAGCCCCGTCCATCACCTGCCACTTTCAGCTGCGTGCGTCAATCTGCCTTTGGATGGACGTCTCTTCCAACTTGTTATCTGATTGGTCCAGCATTGATTTGTGGGCGGGCACTCCCGGGCGCACGCTGAAATCCCATTGGACGAGAGGCGCTTTGGGTTAATGTGACGCAGCTTGGAATTCCCAAAGTTCCCAAGTTTACAAGAGGAGGAGGTCGCCGTTCTCCCTGAAAACCCAATCGTTTTTAAGGAAAAAGCAACCACCGACAATTGTGTAAGCAAGCGCGGGCGAATAAAACTATTTTTATTGGATTTTAGTTTGGTAGAACGTGGCATGTTTGATGCTCGTGCTAGCAGCGGGGCCTGATTGGGGACGCGGAAGAGTGGGAATGTTTAAGCCAACATCCTTTGTTTACCATCATGGGTGAACCTTGAAATTGATTGCTACAACAACACAGGCCCTAAAATTTGCCCTCGTTTCATATGTAAAAATATAAAAACACAACCTAGACGCGTTTAGGAAGCATAACCCTCTGCTGGCTCGTTTCTGGATCTCAGGTTTGACCATTGGTGTTTTCACGGCTGCACAGATTGTCTGGATGAATGAATCAGGACCAGTGGTTAGCTCAAGTGCCACTCGTGATTATTAATTGGATCGTTACTGTATGTATTTCTTAACTATACTCTGTATTTTCCTGCGCAGTGGTGTATTATGGGGTGCCAGCACACCGTTACATAACTAGAATCGGCGACAATGAGCTTCCTATTCCCTTTGCACGTCGTGCATTTCTGCTTAAATTAAAGCCCACATTTCTTTTTGCACTAATGCGACATTTTGAAGATTATTTGACGCAATAACCACTATCAAATATTTCATGCAGTGAGACCCGTTTGTCATTGATATTGTGTTCTGAGCTGTGCACATTAAAAGGAAAACTAAGCCTTATTGTCAGTTAGATGTGCATGTATATATATGTGTGTGTGTACATATGTTTTAGTCCTACAGTACTTGTGAAGTTCACCGTTTCTGTCATGTGCAGGTTCTCATAAAGCTTGAATCCGTCTCGTGCTGTGCCAACATCAGCCAGCAGGGGGCAATGTCTGACAGCAACAACAGCACAGGCAGCAGTGGCTCCTCCACCAACAGCTGGACCCTCCTCTCCCCTGAGGTGAGCATCAATCCAACCACCCTTATGAGGATCTAACATACTAATAGACTCTCAAAGGCTAACTTGTATAAATAAAGGTTGAATGAACATGCAGTCCAAAGCTTCATTTAAAAAAATGATCAAACTTTAGTGGATGTGTATCTCTGAGTCATCAGCTGTGTGATGATGTGTTCAGTGCAAATGAAAGTGGCTCCACCTTCTGCTCCTTTCACTCTAAGGGAATTGATTCATCTCTCTGGGCAGGGACTTGTACATTTTTCCTCAATTGAACAGTCGATATTTTGTGCATAACGGCACAACTCTTCCTGCGTTTACATTAATCATCTTAGTGTATATCTTAGATCCTTATATACCGTTTCTTTTTATACTTTATATTTTTGCTAGTTTTGGGAGTAACTGGGACCTTGAGTACACAGTTTCGTTCCACCTCATGTACCACATGTGATACGAATGACAATAAAGAACCTTGAAACCTTGATTAGCATTTAAAACCAAAATGTGTTTGTTGTTTTGTGGTACTAAGTGGTGTTTTTAATACAAAACTATAGCCAAAGAAGTCTGAAGGCTGTAAAACTGTAGGTTCTGCTGAAAACAGTACAAACTATAACAATAAAAGTTGAAATTAGAAAATTTTATAAATGTATGTACTGTAATTCTATTTTGGTGCCATTGGATTGTTTTAAAAAGAGTGTTATGGACTGTCTGACTGCAGGGAGTCAGTAGTTTTGTGTTTAAGTTAGGCTATGTGCGATTTTAGCATCTATCAACAAGTTTTTCCTTAAAGTATTTATTATAATATATATATATATAATATATATATATATATCCAATAAAGTGGTCTGTGTGGAACAACCTGCATGCATTGGCTGTAATGTGTTTTTAAGTGTCGAGTATTAAATGTTGGATTTTCTTACTCCACAGGAAGCTGCCATTGAGAATGTGGGTCCTGTGGATGACGGCACTGAGAGCCTGGGAGATGCCCCCAGTCTCTCCGAGGAGGTGGCAGGTACTGACAAGTCAACACTCGAAGCTAAAGCTTTGACAAAAGTGAAAATCAAAGGCTTCTTTGATAACTGTTGTTAGGATTCGTGCATTATGACATTGTGTGAATTTTGTTTCAGGAGCTGCGGCTGAGTTCAAACCAGCTGACATTCCAGTAGAAACTGTTTTATCTGAAGAAGGTCACCAGGTTGGTACATTAATAAACTGGAAAATAATCCAGTTAAGGCGAGACAAAGATAACGCGGCAGAAAGAGCTCTCAGAACGACGAAACCTACAAATATGTCCGGGTTAAGATGTCATTATCTGCTTGACAAGTTGAGATCCGTTTTTGTAAAACGAAGCCATTCCTAAAAGACAAAGCGGAAAAAGATGTCATGTAGATGCTGTCTGAGGAAAAGTAGGGCACAGGAGGAACTTTATAAAAAAAAATACTGTAAGAGATCAAGTGTAATTACTGTAAATTAAAAAAAAAAAAAAAGATGAAAGTTTATTTACAGATGATTTATTTCTTTGTTCGTGTTTAGGTTTGTCAGGAGACATCTCCAGAGTCCAGTGAGGGTCCTGTCCCTTCGAGTCCGGCCCGGCTGAGTCCTCTTCCACCCGGCCCCCACGATGCTTCATACTTTGACTTGGAGAGTCAGCCTCCGGTTATCCACGATATCGTAACCACCTCTCCCAGCGACAACGAGCCACAAGGTGCCATGTCTTTTGTCACCAACATAGATTTGGGGTCTCAGCTTGATGTTCCAGTTGTTGAAATCTCCACGGCTGACTCCAGAGAGCCCTGTTCCGCTTCTCCCATGACTGAGTTCACCGTCTCTGCTGAGCCCGCGCTCGACACACCTGCTGATTCTGGACTGATTCCTGCGAGTCTTTCTGGGGAGGAGGACGTCTCGAGTGCTGTACCCGAGGTTAACGTCCCCACAGAGACCCTCGCTGCCGCCGAATCTCTGCCTCACGTTGAAGCTGATATTAGCTTTGCTCCAGGAAGCACCGAGCCTGAGAGCACAGTCCCACAGAGCCTGGAGACGGAGCATCCAGCTGCACCTGAGACACTTGGTTCTGCTGAGACAGAGGAAGAGGAGGCTGAAAGGGAGGAAGACAAGCCTTCTGAGACGATGGACATGGATGAAGGCGAGGATGAGGAAGGTGAGAAAGTTTCACACTTTTTTTTTTTTTAATGAAATGATCACATTCATTCACCATTTACCAAACAGGAGGTAGAGACTTTGCAGCTTTAATGAAGATGATGATTTACAATTATTTAAAACAGCTTTAGTACCCTTTTGTTTGCACCTTCTTTAATAGATTTCTGTTTTTTATATGACATGCCACGTTATTCCACTAGTTGTATAAATTCCTATTTAAAGTTTGGTGGAAGCAACCCACAAAAACTTGAACATGTAGGAAAAACTAGTCAAGATATGACCGTTATTAGTACTATAGTACTAATACTAGCATTAGCATAAGTATAGTGTTAGCTTATGTTAAGCTGCTGTTGGGTTTCATGATAATCTGTTGCTGATTAATTCCATGTAGTTTAAATCTTCGTAGAATAATTATTAGTGCCTAGAAGCTAAATTAGAAATAAGCAGCATGTATTTCTGTTTTTATGTTAAACAAACAAGTTATTTCCTGCTGTCTTGAGATCAAATAGTTCATTTATCAAACCATTAACTTGTGAGTTATCACTATGATTTAGCAGTGTGCGCTCCTGGATAAACCCAGAACTGATCACATTAAATGTTATTTTACCAACTGGCATTTTGTAATGAAGTGAACTTGTATTGAATTAGTTTTGATTTGGATTGAACTGAACTGCAAGTATCTGGATTTTTTTGTTGTTGAACTGACTTGTGATTCGGATTTTATTTTAATGAATTGGATTAAAATGGATCACGTGTCGTAGGATCTAAATTAGGCAGTTTTGATTTTCTTGAATAACGTTTAAAAGTCATTTAATATGAGTTTTCAAAGGCCGATTATCCATTCATTTATTATTAATAGTACACATTAAAATGTACTAAGACAAAAATAATTTTGTGAAGATACTCGTGCAAATGTTCACAGGTGCACAGCAGTACATAGGAATGTCGTAGGGCTCTACATTTTTATCCTTCCAGATTTTTTACAAATTATATTCTCACCATTTTGGTAGATTTGACATCGTCTCATCAAAAATTGGCGCCGTATTTCCGACAACCTCCTTCAGGGTCTGTTAGCACTCATACCTCTTATAGCTTTCGAAAACATTTATTGTGAATTGGTGCTTTATAAAAAGCTAAATTACCGTATGAATCTGGGCGGAGGGTCGGGTTCTGTGGCAGTAAAAAAATTAATAAAGTTTGCAGCGCAGCATTCAAGAAAGTAGAAGTGGATTACGATGTCTTATTTACAGTTAACACAAGTTAACTGAGAAACCTCAACGATTTGTTAACTCTTTTCTTATCTGCGTCATGCTAACATCTGGAAAATGATTCACCAGTGTGACAGGGAAGCCCACACCACATTAAATTAATTACACCCCAAGCATAAAATTATTGTTGTTGTAACTGAGCAATAAAAAAAAGTCATCCATTTCCACGAGCAGCTCTCTCCTTTATTCTCTGATATTTTCCACATGCTGTTTGCACATGTCTTTTTTAACACGCCGTGTAATCTGTAAAAATCTGGTATTTGTACGGAAAGCTGCCAGTGGATAATTATAATATTGAAACAACTTCGTTGCTGACAGTTGAGTCTCTAGGAATGCTGAAATGATTTGTTGTGGTGGTTTAACGCCACGGCTGGGTGTATGTGGTTTAGTTTCAGGCGTCGCGTCTCCTCCTGTAACGTTTCTCCCTCTTTCAGAGCCGTCCAGCCGTTATGAGCTGGGTGACACGAGCAGCTTTGACGACGGACTGAGGAGGAGGAATGTGCCCTCGTTTGAAGCACCAAGACCCTCGGATGAGGAAGAGGATGAGGAGGAGGTGGAATTCAAGCTGCCTGAGAAAAAGGAAGAAAAGTCCTGGTTCTCGGTGAACAAATGCATCGTGGCTGCTTTGGTCCTGCTCTTCTTAGGTTCCCTCTTTTTCTCAGGTGAGTTCCTTTTTTGGGCTTTTTGAAGCCCCATGTTTGAAGAAGAAAATTTGTTTTAAGTTCCTGTTTTTTGTGCTTTATCCTCAAGAGCAGAACTAGTTTGTCATATTTAACGCCTAATATGTGTGTGTTTAAAAAAAGCACATCCTGATCCAAAGCTTGGTGGTGTCTGAAGCTCCTAGTTTTCAGACCGTGGGCTGGTGACGAGCCAAACGGTCTCTCCCAGACGCAGCATCATTAGAGAAAAGAATTTCAAAATTTTACATGAATTAGTCACAGCTTTCCACTTTCCCTCAATCTGTCTTAAATTAGTGGAGCCCTGCGAAGGCGGCACCGTCTCTGGATTTCATTTCTGCATGATTTTCTTCTTTGCAGGAGATTAAATTTCAAACGTGCGCTTAAAGCTCTGCCGAGACGTCGTCTTCAGACTCATGTCTGGTTTTAATGTTGCAAGTGAAGTTTTGTTGCATTGTTCAAATTAGCAGAATCTTGAAATATCATGTTGCCAATACAGTAGTCCCTCTCTACTTCGCGGTTCGTTTATCACGGACTCTCTATCGCAGTTTTTCAAAATAAGATTAGACACGACACACAATTGGCTGATTGATGGATGAGCCGCACGATCGGCCTGAAATTTTTTATTTAAAATAACTTGTTTCAAATTATTTAGCACCTCCTGCACCATTGTGCAGCCCACGCTGCAGGATAAACTTCCTGCTGCAGCTGATCAGCTGTTCACCGTGCAGCGGGAGTAGTGGGCGTGGCTGAGAGCAGAGAAGGCAGGGAGCTGAAATCATGACATTCTGTGCTCTTTTAGAGCGTTTAGAGTTTAGAAACATTGTTTAGAATATTGAAAGAGTGTGGGAAGGGTTTAAAATGCCTTAATATATATATATTTATATAAATAATAAAATAAACTACTTCTTATTACTTGCACTACTATTCCTACTTTGCAGTTTTTCACTTATCGTGTGTCTTCAGGGTACTGATCCCCTGCGATAAACGAGGGACTGCTGTATTGCACAAGAGGGCAAAGCTGTTTATTTAGCTTGTTTTCAGGGTTTAGTTTTGTTGCCATGCTTGACCAAAACGTAACATTATTTTATTAAACATTAGCCCTCATGACAGATAATTTACACATATATTTTTGGCAAAAAAAAACACATTTTTAAATCTCAAATGCATGATTTGAACAACCTTGACCTTAAAATGTTTATTAAACTTTATTTAACCAGGCAGATCCCACTGAGATCAGATCTCTTTTGCAAGAGAGGCCTGGACCTGAAGGCAGCCGAACATGCATGTTTTTATTCTTATCATATTGTTTATTAATGTTAGCAGAAGGATGTTTAGGCCTAATTTAATCAACAACCACTCTCTTTTATAAACTGGTAAAAAGAGAGAACAGGACCTAAAGTCCTGTTTTAAATTGGTGTATATCAGATTATATGTATGTTTGAGGATGTTGAGGACCAGATTGAGATGGCTCGAGGACCGTTTCTGGCCCCCGGGCCTTATGTTGCCCACATGTATAATTCTGAAATCTCCTAAATCTTGTCCTGTTTCATTGACGGTTTACCTAAAGTGTTAAACTGTTCAACCCCTGGATTTTTCAGAGATGTGAATAGAATGATCTTTTTCTAAAGTGTTTTGTTTGAAACTAATTTTATCAGCAAATATAAATAAATAAATCACCACTTAATGTCACATCTGTGTGACACTTCCACCCAGACATTTTCAGGTTTTACACCTGTTGCTGCGAAGCTTAAGAGAGATTTCCTGTGAATAATAAGGTTTACATTTACTGCTCTACAATGACATCACCTTTGAGTTGCATGAGCATTTTTATTTGCAGTCGTCAGCAATACTTGGATGTCGGTTTGTTAGATGTCGACTAAGCTGCACTTCGTCAACAGGTTTCCTCTCTGTCCAGAATCAAAGATAGGACCGCAGCGTAAGCTTCTCCACCCCCCACTGCTCAGCCAGTGGTGGATTGTCAGAGCACTTATCTGCCCTGACAGCTCCTGCAGCGACTGCAGGAAAAAAAAAAAAAGCAAATAACACATTCTGAGCTGTGTTCGAGCTCTTCATCGCCGTTTAGAAGTTTAGGGTTTAAATGTTGCAGGTTTTGCGTTTGACTTTGGAACAAAGTATAAGAATGCACCTCCCAACCAAAGCGACTTTGTGAGACATTTTGTCAGCTTTGTGTGTAATCTTTCATCAGACTTGTGTAAAGGTGACGTGTGCTTGTCTGACAGGTGATTTTGACGCCTCTGAACTGACGGACGGAGAACAAAACCAGGCTTGTTTCCTCCAGGTTTGTTTCCCGTTTCCTGAATTTAAACAGCATAATAAAGTAACATATTCTTTTAAAAATATATGTATTCTGTTCACACGCTTATGGGTTTCAATCCAGGACGAGCTTAGCAGTGATCCACAGGATATGAAGGAGTTATTGGATAAACTGGCACAGGAAAAACAACAAATCGCTCAGCTGGAAGCTCAACTACGGGTCAGTGCACACTTATTTTATTATTTACATTCATCTGCTTAATATGACAATAAATAAATTAAAGGCCCAGGATCCCTTGCACGCCAAATTTCTGCTGATTTAAAGCTTTCCCGCTTTCTCTCTCAGACTAAAAAAGAAGAACTTGACTCTCAGATGAATGCCGTGGCAGCAAGTGGCGATGAAAAGGGGATAGTAGAGTTAGAAAAAGAAAACACCAGGTTAAGAGAGGAGCTATTGTCGCTGCCTGAGCTGAAGAAGGAGCTGGAGAGTCTGAGGGTTCGAGTGACTGAACTCAGCAAGCTAACGAGTACGATTCAACTAAATCATACTTTACCCTTAACAGCATTTATTGTAGTGCTGTCCTAAAAGATGTTATTGAATTGTTAGTTTATAGAGAAACGTGCAGCAATCGATTATTTTTATTTTCCACAGCTGTTGCAGAAATACCAACTTCCAGTTCATCCTCTCAGCCTGGAGACGGAGATGCTCAGAGCTCTCACAAACCAGCCGGACCAGAGAGGAAGAAGGAAGGAAACCTGAAGAAGGAACTTCACCGGCAGAAGGTTCTTCTGGAGAAGAGCAAGAAAAGACTGGACGAGATGAAAGCGGACAGAGGCGACGGAAAACGGGTCCGGGAAAGCTTGGAGGGGATCCAGAGGAAGCTCTCCGAACAAGTCGAGAAGTGGGAGAAGGCGAAGCCGCAGGGGTCAAAATGGAGGGGAGACAAGGGCAAACATAAAGAGCACTGGAAGAAAGAGGAGAAGAAGGAGTGGAAGCACAAAGAGCAGAAGAAGGAAAACCAGTGGAAGCCTCAGAAGGACAACTCTCACAAAGAAGCCTGGAGGAAACACCAGGACGAGTGGGAGAGGAAGAAGGGGGAGCGCAGACTGGACCGGGAGGAAAGAAGGAAGGAGAAACCGTGGCACAGCCAGCCCGGTAAAAACTCCCATCATCATCAGAACCAACACCAGCGCCGCCAGCATCACCAGCACGACGACGACTTCTGGAGAGACCAGGACCAGAAGCTCCGCCGCAACGTGCGCCCCCAGCTGGGCTGCACCTCCTTGGAGGACTGCGCCGCCAAGGAGGGGTTGTACCCAGTGGAGCTGTCCGAGTTTGAGGAGCTGCTGGAGGGCTACCTGAGCAAACTGGAGGGCTCCTCCGAGAGCAAGGACAAGATCAGGAAGCTGGCGGCAGATTTCTTCGAGGACGGCGTGTTTATTCACGACAGGGTTCGCTTCGGGGACTTCGCCGAGGACGTGGCGGACATTCTGGAAGACATGGTGGACGTGTTGGACGGTGGCGGGCAGAAGGACAGCGACTCTCTGGAGGAGGAGATGGAGGAGTTTGAGCGAGAGGCCCTGTGGAAGTTTGCAGCTTAGAAACGGACCAGTTAGAAGCTGCAAATGGGACGCCGCAGCACACGTGGTGCTTTTAAGGACACTTACCCACCGTCTCCTCCAGAGCTGTAATTACAGAAGCTTTTGGTACCAATGGATCTGTCACTCTTAAATGTCCCTTGAAGTCTCTAATTATGAGCTAGATTTATCATTTTGGGCTTAGTTGTTACCTACCTCTGTCTGGTCATGCAACCTGAAGTCCAGTCCCTCAGTAACTGTGTGAAGTTTTCTTTGCTAGTCAGTGCAGTAAACAATGCATGTGAGTTTGAACTCCGATCACACTAAAAAACAAGAGTCTAAAGCAGTTTATTTTATTTATTTATATATATATATATAT